CGCCCCCTATTGGCCGATTGGGCTGAGACTTTGATAGGTTCTCCCCAAATTGAGCTCTATCATTTGGCCCAGTTTCAAGTTTCTAGACCTTACCGTTTGGTCTGCACGATCAGTTTTAGGGCAGAATAATAATAATAATAATAATAATAATATAATAAAATCTAAATAATAATACAATTTAATTTGTGCTTGAACCCCTAATGAATAAATAAAAAAATATATAATACATATATATTTGTTTACCTTTATGTCATTTGACTATTAACCATCTTCAGAGAACCGTGAATAGTAATAATTATAATAATAATAAAATCATAATAAAATCTTGAAATCTAAATAACAATAAAATTTGCTTCATGCTTGAACCCCTAATGAATAAATAAATTAATTAATTAAAAAACATATATACATACATACATATACATACATACATGTATATATTAAAAAAATATATGTCATATATATTTATATATATACTGTATATACACACACACACACACATGTAAATATTTCTAAAATTTATATATGTATGTGTGTGTATACATATAAATATACACAGTACACACACATATATCACGATTAATCGACTTGACAGCCCTAAAACATATATACTGTATATATATATATATATATATGTATTGTGTGTTGTTAAATTATTGAAATATCAAATTAAAACCTCAGGGGGGCTTAGAGTAAACATTTCAGGTCAAAGATTTTCGGCTGATAAAAACGTTGATGAAGCCCTGTTTTGTGCACCTGTCTGAAGTGAATGTAGTGGCTGTGCTCGTATGGGAAGCTGCCGTCAAAGTCTCTGGTGAGCTGCGACGAGTCGATGTGCTTCTGCAGAGCTTTCAGAGACGTCAGGACTTCACACTGTACAAGAACAGAGAGGAGCAGCTCACATAAACACGAACTGACTCAAACTGAGACCTAGAGAACGACAGACAGTCATTTACTCACAGGAACTGAGACGTCTCGCTCCACTTTCACTGCTGCATCTCTGTCCATCAGAATCAAAACTGAGTAAAGTGCATTGGGTACGAGAGTCTGGCGGGAAAGAAGAAATCAGTGGGTGTAAATAAATCAAAAAGTTTCTATTTCAATCATTTAACAACACACGTGCATGTTTACAGTTCTCTAATGTTGGTTAATGGTCACATGACATGCAGGTAAACCAATAAAATAATATTTTTAGTGTTTTGATTTGATTTAAATATTGCATTTTTATAATTATTTGATTTTCATCAACTCATGAACTCATATTGTACAGGCTAACATTACAGAAAAATAAAAAATAAATAAAAATATGGATAATTACAAAGACTAAACATATTAAATCAGGGATTCCCAATTTTTTTGTCAGAATGTTGTCTGAATTCCTTAAATTAATATTTCAATAATTTAACAAAACATTCACATATTCATGGGTCTCTAATGTGGGTTAATGGTGACATGATATGCAGGTAAACATAATATTTATTATTTTTATTAAGTGTTTTATCCTTAGTGTTTTTATTTTAGTTATGTATTTATTTTAATTTAAAATTTTTATGATTTAATTATTAATTTTTAGCAAATATTTTATTTTGATTATTTTTATTTTCAATTATTTATTTTAATTTAGCATTTTTATGATTTAATTAATTATCAGTTAGTATTTTATTTTGATTGTTTTTATTTAGAAATCAATTATTTATTTTAATTTAGCATTTTTATGATTTAATTCATTTTTAGCAAATATTTATTTTTTATTATTTTTATTTTAAATTATTTATTTTAATTTAGCATTTTTATAATCTAATTAATTATTTGTTAGTATTTTATTTTGATTGTTTTTTATTTAAAAAAAATATTTATTTTAATTTAGCATTTTTAAGATTTAATAAATTTTTTGCGTTTTGCGTTCAGTTTGGGAAACCCTGGTTTAGATCATTTATTGTGCACACTTAACATTTGGGGAAAAATCAAACAAAAACAATTACAACGACTAGAGAGTTTAGATCAGTTATTGCATGTAACAGTGCTAATAAGAACATATTTAAGTGGAGAAACACTCCTTTCTCGTCCCTCTTCTCTCAGTTTTTGCATGCTGGGGCCGATCGTTTTCTCTGAGTGTTTTCGAGACATGCTTGCACAGGCCTCGTCTTAAACCCCGAGGACAGACTTTCCTTCAGATATTTAATAGATTTATAACAAACTATAATAGTAAAAAAACTATAACTATATAATAACCAGTGATGCACACTACTCAACGTTGTCAAATTTTTTATTTAAAAAAAAAAAAATTTAAAAACAGGCTGTCATTTATGTGATTCATGTAATTCATAATTGAATGTGAAGAGACAAGAAGCATTTTTTAGTTTTGTGTTTTCAACATATTAGTCCGAACGTGCATATTTTAAAATACAAATATTTTTATATTTTATAATTATTAGATATTATAATATATTATATATGATAATTATTTTAAAATACAACTTATTTTAAAATATTTTTTATAAATGTATAATTTGCAAAAAAAATAATTTTACTGTTCATCTTTCTTTTTCTCGATTCCCCGAAAGGTCCTGGAGAACTTTACCTTTGGGGTCTTTTAAATCAATAAAACATTGGTCCCTGACATGGGTATGGCCTTTTGTCTTAAAGACGTGTGAACTGTGTGTCTGGTCTCACCTGAAGCTCAGACAGAGCCGAGAAGAGCGCAGACGCGACCGCTCGCCTGCGGGCGTCAACGAGAACCGTCAAACCCAGGTCTCGCTTCTCCCTCCTGAAAACAAACGCAAGACACTCAGTGAAACGTCTTGCAAAGAACTGCTGTCTGGGATCAGAGCGAGAGCACAGTTTCCATGTCGATTCAGTAAAGCGTGTGAGAGATTCGGGCCGCTTCTCACCGCAGTCTGTGGCAGTAGCAGCAGAGCAGCTGGCTGATCTGGTTTGTGGTGAAGCGCGCGTCTGTCCACACCTGGTTCCTGGTGCACACCTGCAGCACGGCTCTGCCACCGCGGTCCTGGTTACCTGCAGCAGGACGGTGAGATGAGGACCTGATTAACCCAACTGAACACCGTTTGGGGGGAATTCTAAACGTGATTTTAATGATACAATCTGCCATTGCGATTTAAAACATGATTTAAAGAGTTCCAGGTTGGCTGTGCTTATTTGTAGGACGTCAGAATTTGGCTAAAACTTTGATTATATATTGACATGACTGTAAAATTATAATTATATTCTACATTTATGCATTTAATAGATGCTTTTATCCAAAATGACTTTCAAAGATTATTAATAATAGTTATAAAATTTAATATAATACAATACAATCATTTAATATAAAAATAATTATTATTAGTGTTTAAAAACGCTATACATCAAAAGTTATAATTATATTTTACATTTATGCATTTAGCAGATGCTTTAATCCAAAGTGACTTACAAAGAGATAATAAAAAGATTAATAATGATTATAATAATAATGATTATTAATAATAATATATACTACTATACCATGAATAATTATTATTAATAACAAAAAAATATGTAATTTAAAATATGATAATAATTCTTGTTATTAAAGATTTTTAGAATTACAACATAAAACATTACGGTGAAAAACTAATAATAATAATAATAGAGATAATAATATTAAATATAATAATTATTACTATGATAATAATAATAATAAAAACAGTAATAATAATAATAACTTTTATTAATATATAATTTAATCTAATAGTTTAATATAATTATAATAGTAGTATTATTATTAATGATTATTATAATTACTCATTTAAAACATTAAAATAAAAAAATGAACTAAAATAATATCGCTATTGTATTATTTCACCGTAAAATAAAATATTTAGCATTTTATAATAATAATAATATAATAATAATAATTTTATTTTACAATAAAATTACAATATTAATATACTATAATTTCTTTGTTTTCAAATTAGCCTAATTTCTTCTTAATTTTTTCATTGTCATTTTTCATCAAGCCGCCTGAGACACTATGAGCTGCAAGCGTGTAAAAACACAGTGCCTCGCTTCACTCTGAAAAATGCAGCGTATAAATGTATTTAATAAAATCGCAGCACTTGCCCAATTGCCCAATAATTGGTTTTATTCCACTTAACCATGCAGCCTTAGTCTTTGGTTTGCAATGAACTTCAAAAAAAAAATGCAGTGTTTTTTTTATTTTTATAAGGAATATTATATGTAGATTAATTCTGAGTGTCTGTTTCTTTGGTCTTGTTGGTTTCGAGCCGGTCACGCACCGGGAAGCGTCAGAGCACCGGAGGTCAGGAGCTCCTGGTTGATGAGTGAGAGCAGCGCTGGAGCACAGACAGCAGGGGGCGCCGCGGACGGGCCAGGAGACACCGCTGCTCTGCTGGGGGGTTTAGGAGGAACAAACTCATCAGCGCTGTTACTGTTCCTCCTGGGGCTCGAGTGCAGACCCTCATCAGAGAGACCTGAACACACAAACACAGATCTGAGCATCACAGCTCATTATCACAAAGACTTCATGATGACGATATGTGACCCTGGAGCACAAAACTGTCTTAAGTGTCAATTTTTTTAAATTGAGATTGATACAGATACAATAAAAAAGCTCTCCATTGATGTATGGTTTGTTAGGATCGGACAATATTTGGCTGAGATACAACTATTTGAAAATCTGGAATTTGAGGGTGCAAAAAAATCTAAATATTGAGAAAATCATCTTTAAAGTTGTCCAAATGAAGCTCTTAGCGATGCATATTACTAATCAAAAATTACGTTTTGATATATTTACGGTAGGAAATTTACAAAACATCTTCATGGAATATGATCTTTACTTAATATCCTAATGATTTTTGTCATAAAAGAAAAATGTATAATTTTGACCCATACAATGTATTGTTGGCTATTGCTACAAATATACCCCAGCGACTTAAGACACATTTTAGTTTCCTAAAGATCGTGTCAGACCAGTTTCATGATTCTTCCTTGTCTTGTGTCTCACATGAGAGCGTTTAGAGATGTTTTAAACTTGAGCAGTAAGACCGAATAAGAGCTGGTCAGTTTGATCCGTTTATGTGAATCATTTTAAATGCATTCATTCAAAACTGTGATTTAAAGTGGCAGCACTCAAAATCATAACTAAATGTATTTGGCAGATGTATTCAGAACGTAAAATGCAAATGATGGCGTGTTTACAGGATTTAATATGTTTAAAACAAATAAAACAAACATTTAAACGGCAGAGATGCAAACAATCAGTTCATTTGACTGTAAAATCAAACACACGTTTCATAATCTGAACTGAACTACACTATACTGTTCAAAGCGTTTGGGTCAGTAACTTTTTATTTTTAAAGAAAGTAATACTTTTATTCATTAAGGATGCAATAAAGTCCCCATGAAATCAAAATTAAAGTTTTTTGGGTGTTAGTATCAATATGTTAGTCTTAAGGTTATCTATAAGGCAGTGTGCTCCAAAACAGTGACAAAATTCGCATTTAGAAGATATAAGCATTCAAAGCTTGCAGTTCGTCACTTCCGCCAAAACGGCTCAACGTTTTTTTTTTGACGTCACATCGTACTTCAGCTTCTCATCAAACTTTCTGTCCAATCAAATGCTCTCTAGAATCCGAAGCCCCGCCCCCTACACTATAAAATAGACGCTGAAGCCGCGGCTGAAATCGGTCACTTGTCCACAGAATGAGTATTTTCTGTACAGTGAATGGCACGTAGTGCACTATATAGGGGACAGGGAACGATTCGAACAGTGTAAATATGCGCGAGACGCCGCAGACCACAAAATGTATCGGAGCTATTTGAATTCTACACAGAATGCTATATTTTATAGCAATATGGATGAGATTGTGGCTGGCATACCCTGCGGCTTTACGGAGCTCAACGGCTTAAATTAATCAAAAGTGACATTTATAATGTTACAAATGATTTCGATTTCAAATAAATGCTTTTCTTTTGAACTTTCTATTCATCTGTGAATCCTAAAAAAATAAAATGTATCACCGTTTCCACAAATATATGATGCAGTACAACTGTTTTCAACATTGATAATAATCAGAAATGTTTCTTGAGCAGCAAATCAGCATATTAGAATGATTTCTGAAGATCATGTGACACTGAAGACTGGAGTAATGATGCTGAAAATACAGCTGCGCATCACAGAAATAAATTACATTTTAACAGATATTCACATAGAAAACAGCTATTTTAGATAATAATAATATTTTATTTTTACTGTATTTTTAATCAAATAAATGAGTGAGCAGAAGAGACTTCTTTCAAAAACACTTACTGGCTCCAAACCTTGGAATAGTAGTGTATATAGTGCATATACTAAACAGACTGTCTGGAGGGAAGGAAGATTGGGTTCAGGTGTGACAAAAACTACACGGTGAGTCAATGTTGAGTCACAATGGAGACCAGGTGTGTGAGGCAGACACACACACACACTCACACGCACACTCACACTCACAATCACACACACACACACACACACACACACACATAGAGCTGAGTTTCTGGGCCCTCGGGCTCTGGTTTGAGCAATGCTGCGGCTGACATTCCCAGCTGAAGCAGATGTTTGTGAACTTTCTCCTGAATCCAAACCCTCAGGCTGTTTCTTCCAAACCCAGCAACCCAAACAATAAATACAACACAACTCGTTCTCCTCCTCCTGAGAGGAAAGACTGCGGCTAAAGAGAGGAGTTCAACAACTCCAACAAACACTACAATTAACTACCTTTCTTCAAGAATAAATTGTCCAAATAACACATTTAAAATGGGACAAATATTTTTCGGAGTAACTAAACACCATTACTACACTGTGCTGGAACTGTTATAATATTTTAACATTTTATGGCACTGAAAAAGAACATTTGAATATCAACCAATAAAAGAAAGATCACACAAATAATACATTTAAAATAAATTAATTAATTAAATACATTTAAAATAAAATAGAATTAAATTAAAAATAAAATCAGTTCATTTGCATGAATCACCTGAATAAATTGATTCACTTAAAAATTAAAAAATAAAATAAAATAAAATAAAATAAAATGCTGTAAATATCTAATTGAATGACAGCTAGGGAACATTTGAATATCAACCAATAAAAGAAAGATCACACAAATAATACATTTAAAATAAATTAATTAATTAAATACATTTAAAATAAAATAGAATTAAATTAAAAATAAAATCAGTTCATTTGCATGAATCACCTGAATAAATTGATTCACTTAAAAATTAAAAAATTAAATAAAATAAAATAAAATAAAATGCTGTAAATATCTAATTGAATGATTCTCAGCTAGGGTGGATTTGTTAAACTTTACCAGATTTAATTATACTTACTGCAATAAAAAAAAAAAAGAATAATTCATAAACTCACCTGGAAACATGCAGAATTTAATTAAATATGCTATAAAGTATGTTGCTTGTTAATTTACATGAATTATTTGAATGAACTGATTCACTAGAACAAATTAGAATTTCCAGTTCTATAAAAATGTTGCAAACAGGCTTTTTGGAATCAGTTGATTTACATTAATCATCTGAATGAGTTGATTCACTTGAATGAATATGTATTTCCAATGCTACAAAAATGTTGCAAACAAACTTTTTTTGATCAGTTCATGTACACGAATCATCTGAATGAATTGATTCACTGGAATGATTCAGAATTTCCAATGCTATAAAATGTCACAAATATACTTTTTTTTTATCAGTTCATTTACACAAATCATCTTAATTAATTGATTCACAGAAATAATTCATAATTTCCAATGCTATAAAATGGTGCAAACAAACTTTTTTGGATCAGTCCATGTACACAAATCATCTGAATGAATTGATACACTTGAATGAACATGGATTTCCAATGCTACAAAAATGTTGCAAACACACTTTTTTATCAGGTAATTTACACAAATCATCTGAATTAACTGATTCACTGAAATGATTGAGAATTTCCAATGTTATAAAATGTCGCAAACAGACTTTTTTTGAATCAGTTCATTTACATGAATCATCTGAATGAACTGATTCACTAGAACAAATCAGAATTTCCAATGCTACATATGAGGGTTTTTATCAGTTTGCAGGGTTGTAAAGCTGTACATGACTACTAGTTGGAAAACGTAGGTTATTACTGCAGATAAAGCAAGTTAATAGTGTCGTTTCTTTAAATTAGTCACTAACCAACACTTTTCAAAAAGCAGCCCGACAATATTTGGTTGACTTTGCATACGTCTCTGAGAGCGAGTCCGAGCTCTGGGGTATCATGGGAACCAGTTCATATCACAAGAGACCACATGCAATCACAAAGGCCAAGCAAAACCACATCAGCCGTAATCTGACCCAGCCTCAAAGTCATTGGCATTTGTTTTCTGAGCAAAGTCTGACTGACCCCTGCTTCGCTCGGGCTCTGTAACAGGACAGATATTACGTGGAGATGGGCTTTACTCTTTAAGCCTCTCTTCAGCATCCTCACCGGCCCAACGGGACACAATGGTCCCCATTATGACGGAGGCAAACCATCTGGATGGGAGCTTAACAGCGCTGTGTGTCGAGCAGGTAAGCGGCGCAGAGATCCTCCCTCAGGTGGGTCATCGGATCCGCTGTGGCTTCCTGCCCAGACTCAATGGCTCTGATTTTCATGTGTGGGAAAGAAAGCCAGAGAACAGAGGGACTCTGCAGAATCCCAGATGGGAATTTACCTAAACCACTGTGTGTGTGTGTGTGTGTGTGTGTATGTGTGTGTGTGTGTGTGTGTGTGTGCGCGTGTGCGTGTGTGTATGTGTGTGTGTATCAAATAGAGAACGAAAGTAAAATGAGAGCCATAGAGTATGAATTCACCTAACACCATGTCCTAACCAGGCTTGCTGTGACGGGTCATATTTTCGTTCTTACACTGAAAGCAAAAATACCGTACAAAGTAGTTAGAGATCATTATATCATTCAAGCAGCTTATTCAGCTGATAATTAGCCACTTAGAGATTAGCGGATTGGTCAATTAAAATAATAATAATAATAATAATTATTATTATTATTATTATTATTATTATTTATGCTATTGTATATATGAATACAAATTCAAATAATAATAATAATTATTGTTGTAATTATAATTATATTATTTCATATAATAAAATATAAGTATGATGTATATATTTAATAACTTCTTATTCTTATTCTTATCATAAATATATAGTATTATAAAATACATATAAATTAAATAAAAAACATAAATAATAATCATATGTTTTATTATTATTAATATTTGTATTTATTTTATTA